TCTTTGTGTCTGTTTCTGTAGCCTTCAGGAACTACATCATGTTCCGGGAGGCACGCAGCCGTGGAGCCAAGTCTCGGGCTTTGAACATTGGCAAAAAGCAGCAAGCGGCCTCCAAGTTGAAATGAACCAACAGTAAGTTGGTTAATAACTCCAATAACTATGGTTTATGGTACGCAAATAACTATAGTTACTAGGGATTATAAACCAACAAACATAACTGGGGGGCGCCACATTGTGGCACTCCATCGTTTTTTTTTAGATGGGATTCACCCCAGCGATTGTTGTGGATACAAAAATAGCCCGTTCCTATAACCTCAACACTTAAAAATCCGATTTATCCGCTCAGACCAGCGGGAGCTTTCAAGAATGGTTGGCGATGCCCATGAGCAGCTATGCATCCTTCGATAGCAACTGCCGAGTTCCTTGGCATCATGTGCTGGGTACCAGCACCAAAAACGGGGTACCAATTTGCCTTTGACTTCGATGTTTACTTCGAAATTTGGGTTCCCCAAATGACTTGATGAAACATTGGGATGCTTTTGGCGGACCCGTTGCGAGAAAATCGCGTGGTTTCCTCCGATGAAAAAACTCTTTGGGATGAGACCAGAAGGCTGGAGGTTGTCAAAGTCCTCTGCCATATTTAAATCAGCACATCTCCAAATTTGGAAATCTCAGGATAACAAAAAAAGTGGATGGGCCAGCGCAATCCGAATCACCAGTTCATAGATGGTTTGCACATCCCATGGTTTTTTGTTGGGGTTTCAACCATGCGAAATTGGTGGTTTTTAGGATTTCGCTGGCCCATCCACAGTAGGATAACAATGGCAGGATAAGTCAGGTACAGTTCCAGATATCTCAGGTCATCGTTTGATATCCTCTGGTAAACATACAAAAAACTATTGAAAATCACCATTTTTAATGGGAAAACTCACTATAAATGGCCATTTTCAATAGCTATGTTAGTCATTACCAGAGGGTATCGTTTGTCACTCACCCTGTGTTTTTTGGGGCGAGGATTGGAGCGATTCGTTTCTGAACGACAAGCCTCTTCGGAGCTGGGAGGTGCGCGGCGCGCGGATCTATCCGCTGTGGTCACTGTTGAACCAATATCACAGTGGTTCAATTTGGATGATTTTGGGGCTACCCTCATTTAGGAAAACTCCATATATAATACTACATATATATATATATGGTCCCGTGTCCCGTGTTCCCACCCCCCCCCATGGGATGGGGGGGGGGTATGATGCCCCTGTGGTGGTGTATATACATATATACATACCTACATACCTACCTACCTACCTACCTACCTACCTACATACATACATACATACATACACGCATACACACAGACATACCTACCTACCTACCTCCCTCCCTCCCTACCTACCTACCTACCTTACCTACCTACCTACCTACCTACGTACCTACGTACACACGTACACACCTACACACGTACACACGTACACGCGTACACGCGTACACACGTACCTACATGCATACATACATTACATGACATTACATGACATTACATGACATTACATGACATTACATGACATTACATGACATTACATGACATTACATGACATTACATTACAATACAATACATTACAATACATTACAATACATTACAATACATTACAATACATTACAATACATTACAATACATTACAATACATTACAATACATCACAATACATCACAATACATTACAATACATTACAATACATTACCATACATTACGATACATTACGATACATTACGATACATTACGATACATTACGATACATTACGATACATTACGATACATTACGATACATTACATGACATTACATGACATTACAATACATCACAATACATTACAATACATTACAATACATTACAATACATTACAATACATTACAATACATTACAATACATTACAATACATTACAATACATTACAATACATTACAATACATTACAATACATTACAATCCATTACAATACATTACAATACATTACAATACATTACAATACATTACAATACATTACAATACATTACAATACATTACAATACATTACAATACATTACAATACATTACAATACATTACAATACATTACAATACATTCATACATACATACATACATTACATTACATACATACATACATACATACATACATACATACATACACACATAGCACACATACACACATACAGCACTACACACATACACACATACACACATACATAGCATCATACACACAGTGTCACATCTACATACATACATACATCCATCCATACCATACCTGCCATAGCATACCTACTATACATATACATACATACATACATACATACATACATACATACATACATACATACATACATACATACATACATACATACATACATACATACATACATACATACATACATACATACATACATACATACATACATACATACATACATACATACACACATACACACATACCCACATACACACATACACACATACATACATACATACATACATACATACATACATACATACATACATACATACATACATACATACATACATACACACACACACACAGACATACATACCTACCTACCTACCTACATACCTACATACCTACAAACCTACATACCTACGTACCTACGTACCTACGTACACACGTACCTACGTACCTACGTACACACGTACATACGTACATGCATACATACATGCATGCATGCATGCATGCATGCATACATCCATACACCCATACATCCATACATCCATACATCCATACATCCATACGTCCATCCATCCATCCATCCATACGTACCTACCTACATACCTACATACCTACATACCTACATACCTACATACCTACATACTTACATACCTACATACCTACATACCAACATACCAACATACCTACATACCAACATACCAACATACCAACATACCAACATACCACCACCACAGGCCACAGCGGGGGGGACCAGAAGAACCATACCACCACCACAGGCCACAGGGGGGGGGACCATGATAGAACGCAGAACGAGACTGTCCAGAACGCGCCAATTACCCATTGGTAGGGGGGGGGGGATGGGGGGGTGCCATTGACGGTTGGCGTCGATTTTGCGGCACAACTTCTTGTGCATGTAAGCAGGGTGGAATGGGTTGGGGTGTCTCGATACATGTAGCTGTAACCTGCAACTCCCTTTATATTGGCAATACCGCGTAGGATTTATCTCCGGCGCCAAGCACCCTCTCACTTTTTGGTGTTTATTTGTGTCCTTCTCTTTCTTTCTTTCCCTGATGCTTGCATTCACGCCCAAATTTCTGACCCCAAACACGTATAAGCATTCATAATTCCATGGACAGACATTTTGGAGCGTCAAATCTTCATGCACATGTACATGCATGTGCAATAAGTACAAAGGCTGCTGTGTATCAGGTGTGAGCGTGTGTGAGCGTGTTTGAGCATCATATTCATGTTTTGCCGCCTCGATCTGAATTTCGCACTAATTTAACCTTGCACACGGGAAACTAATTAAAGCCGCTTGGAATTGGCAAGTGGGCACGCCTGCAAATTAGTTGAAAAGAGCCCCAAATATCCAAAAGCACAATTGTTTTTTTTTCAAGTTGGTATGCCACATTAATTGACTCCACTTGGCAGCTCATCGCAGTTCATCCGCAGCTGACGAAGATTCAGCTGCAGCGCTGCGTTTTGGCCGCCTGGCTCGCAGCACCGCACGTGTTGATTTGTTGAAAAAGGAATGGCGTTCGAACAAAAGATTAAATTAAATATGAACAGATCCACGTATAGCAACAACAAACAAAGACACAGCATCTTATATAGCTTTCTATATCCAATGACAGCCAACAAGAGCAGATATGCCTTGACAATGCACATCAAACCCATGCAAGCACAGCTTGCTTTGTAGCTTCGGATCAAGTCTGCAATCACAACACGAAAATCATGCTGGACATTGCGCATCAAAGTTCTGGTACGGAGTGGACATGCGGAATCTCGGCGTAATGGTCTCGCGATCGCGATCTGGCATGCAAGATGTTTGTTTCTCACTTTCTGTATCTTTTTTTTTCTCTCTCTCTCTCTCTTTTTCTTTTTCTCTTTATTTATCCACCCCAGGCACTGGCGAGGGCTTGACCCCCAGCTCCGGACGGCGGGCGCTGGAAGGAAAGTTCTCAAGGGCGCCGCCGCCACTGGCGAGGGTGGACAGCGGCCCAGCTCCGGCCTGTTGTGGCTTGATGTTGTTACTGCAGCGCAGGGGCAGAAGTGGCAAGTGGATCAGAAGCTGTTTAGTGGCACGCACGTGGAGGATAAAGTGGCTGATCCTTTCAGGTTGTCTTAATTGCACTCATCGAACATATGCGCGCTACGATTTGAATGCCTCCATCTGCCTCGAGTTTTTGCTATAGTTCCGTTGTCCGAGGTATACGCGCTAGGGGCCCGTGGCCTTTTGTTGCTGCATACTTTGATGTACTTTGGTTACCATTGGTTACCGTAAAATTAAAACGCATGTTTTTGATTTATTTCAACATGGGGCGCAGGGAAAGTTACTGTTGGCGTGGTAGGAGAACGTGATCAAGTAGGCAGGCTCGCGGGGCAGATTGAGTTTACGGTTTAATGAAAATGGCTATGCTATTGGGGCTGCTAGCGGTGCAGGTGCAATTTATCTTTGGGGTATTTGAATGTGTAGAAGGGCCACGACATCAAGGTAGGGACCATCTGCAGCTGGATGGTTTGTTGCTAAACTATGTGCGTACTGGTGGGAGCACAATAAAAAAGTTTTAAGAAACACATTCCGCATTGGCCAGGCATGCAATTTATTCGGGAGAGCACGCGACAGACGAGTGAATTTAAAGAAGACTTGGCCGATATTGCGGATGAGGCAGTAATGCATGCAACGGAAAGGCACCAGTGACAAAGCTATAGTGACAGCAAATTGTGCAGGACGGATAAGTGTGGATTGCGGGTCTGTGCATGTAAGCCTGCCAAGGCACTTCTGTTGAGTAAAGACGGTGCGCTTGAAGGCGCCTTTATGTTGAACTTTCTCCTTGTTCTTCAGCTGTCGGTTGCGGTTCTCCTTCTTCCATTGTACGGCCTTTTGTGCAGCCGTTTCTTTTCTTGCGGCCAACTTCCCAGGATCCACCCTGCGCACTGGCTTGCGCAAGTCTTGCCTGCTGATAATGGGTTGTACCTGCCCTTCCTCAAGAGCTGGCAGAAAACCCTTTTTCAAGCAGCCTTGCATTAAACTGAGAATCTCAGACTCCTTTCTTTGTGCCAAGGTGTGGAAGTATGCGGCCGAATGGTGGGCCAACATCTTGGCCAAGCTGAAAGCTGCAAGTTGTGGTGGGAAGGTTTGGATGTGCTGCTGGATGATTTGCTCTTGGCAAGCTTTCAATTGAAAGTGCAAGGCTTCATTGCTGCACGTGCCAAAACTCAGGAGTTGGAGCTCCGCAGGTGGCAGCACGTCGTGGAGTGCAGAGATGATGTGCGATCCGTTCCACAAGTAGCGAAAATGAGTGTAGGAAGCCCCGGCCTTCAAGATCTGGCGGATTGTGCGCCCTTTCTTGTCCTTGTGGCCCATGTTGTCTGGAAACGCAGTGCAAAGGGCTTGGATGTCATTGATATACTCCTGGTGGTTGCAGTATGGTGTGGCTGCTTTTTTATCCCAATCTGTTTCGGTAGCTTCTTTGTCCATCAGATTGTCCGACCAGTTGCCGGCATCAGGAGGGTCTTCCACAGCATGGCCACGAAAGGACGGAGCTGCGTATGGCAGGCGGAAGCGGGTTTGGATCTTGAGCAAGCATGAGGACAAGGCAGTGCGCTTCTCTGCTTCTCTCCAGTACAAGCTTCCACGCGCAGCACCAAATGCAAAGCATCTTCTGCGACAGCTTCCAAGTTTGGCAAGACTTCGGCCGCGCCTTCTACAGAGGTAGGGCTATCAGAGAAGATGTACTTGACCGTGTCCCGAGCAGCTTGAGGCAGGACTTCAGCAATGGCCGCCCGAAACTGAGCAGGACCCTCCGTGCGCTGAAGGCTGAAGCCAGGCACAGCGCCCGACCGGCCAAGAAACGTGTGAAGGGCATGGAATTCACCTTGTTTCTGTTGCATTGGCACTTGTCCAATGGCGCTGAACAATACTTGATATGTTGCATCATGACTGCAAACAAGCCATTCTTGGCGCTCAGTGGCAGCTTCAACCAAGCCTGCATGCAAGTCACGCACTGGCTTCAAGGCCACGACTTCTTGAAAGACTGCCTGGCGGGTATCTCCTCTGCGGCAACCAAGCAGTGCGCAAGAGCTTCCTCGAGAGACCCAATCACTTGTGATGTCGTTGAACATCGTGTGGACTTTGCCTCGGTGTTTGATTGCCTTGGCCAACACCAAATCTGCGAAATCATTGCTAATGTAGAGCATCTTGTTGATCTGCAGAGCTTGTGCTGTTTGTTGCTTGAGAACATATTGTGGGCCAGTGCCAGTGAGAATCAACGCCATGTCCACAAAATTTTGGGTGGAGAGGTAGCGGAGCGAGTCTGCATCCAGTTTTGCCCAAGATCGAATGCAGGTTGCTGCCAAGGAAAGTAGGTTATCTTCTGCATGGCAGCCAGGTATCAGAGGTCGTAAGGCCTGGCGGATAACGAAGCATGGCATGTCCACGTGCGCATGTGTATTTACAACAGATGCGGTTCGAACCTGCCTGCTTCTGCTCAAAGATGGCACATGCGACATAGAACTGTTGCTTGTTGGTGACAAAATCCTTTTCTGCCGTGTGGTATTTTTCGACATGTGTGAGGAGGGATGATCTTCGGCTGAATGTACGGAAGGGGCACATGGTACAAGCATACGCTGCTTCTGGATTCGATCGACCAGCTTCGCGCTGCAAACCTGAACTGAGAAACTTAAGATATCAAAAATGCTTAGAGGTTACGGTGGCTGATATTGGTATTATCATATTATCTCTGAAATGAATCCTGCACAGGCGGGCGTATACTTTCCTCGACGCTTCCTGCTGTCGTGATGCCTTTTTGGGGTAACGTCTGAAAAGGCCAGCGACTAGCAAAGAGGAAAAGTTTGTCATATACAACAAGAAATTTCACATCATGGAGTATCATGGACGCTGTTGACCTTGCAACTGTGGTAACTAAGCTTGGGACGGGCAAGTTCCTGGGAAACCTCCTTAGACATGCGCTCTCGAACTTGTGGCATGACCGGGCGCAAAGTCTCCTCGGCCTCCACCACACCGGCTTTCAAAAGAAGTTCAACTGAAGTCGTCGACGCCGCATCTTTTTTGCGACGCTTGGCCTGTGGTTCCCCATTCTGACTGATAATGGAGATTTTGAAGATGTACGTGCCTGGTGTCTTTGCTAGCTTCTGCCAGAGCAATTGCATGTTGGTTTGGATGTACTCCTCCTCTGTCGAGGTGTAGATCTGGGCGGTAGCCTCCACCATTTTCACACCATATGCATGACCAACGTCAGCATCCCAAGTGTTTGACGCATGGACCAGGAAACATGTCCCGTCACCGCTTTGAGTGGCTTGATCGAACGAAGTTGGTTCAATGAGAACATTGGGGCAAATCTCCATGGTGTGGTGGTAGGAGATCGGGCTGCTCAAATTGGAGGTTGCTTCTTTGATACCATTGGCTTCGTCTGGAAACAGGTTCAGGAGAGCAGTGCCAATGCATGAGAAGCGCCCAGGTAGGCGCTGGACCGGGTCCATACGGATGGCCATGTTGTTGGACAAGAGTTCGCGCAATATGTTCGGCACAGTCGCCTGTGGCCTGGTGCGGCTCAATGTTTTGACCTGCATCGTGATTCCTGTGCTGTCGCGAGAATCATTGAGCAAAGCATCTTGATTTGGCGCCCTCTCAGTGCCATCTTCCTCTGTTCTGCTCTGTGGCACGGCCAGCACTGCATCAAAGACAGGTGCAACCAAAGCAAACCCATACTTTGGCAGTAATTTGCAGAATGCTTGCATGGTCTGGTTTTCCTTGTCAAAGAGCAGGAAAGCCATGGTGGAAGTCTCTGGTCTCGGTCGGCCAGCTGCCCGCATGGCTGCCAGCAAGCTAGGGTGCCTTTCGCACATGGTGGCCCTCAGCCTCATGGCATCTGCTGCTAAGCCTTCAAGCAATGGGCAAATCACAGGTTTGCCACTCGCACGCGATGGGAAAGCAAAACCAAAGCAAGCCTGCAACAGGGCCTTCTTTGCATCCTGCTCGGCAAGGGCAAACCACTGCATGACGATCTTCCGCCATGTCCCTTTGTTTGCATGGTAGCGTTGGAAGCAAGGCAGGTCGAGCCCATATTCCTTTGCCCAGACCAATGCAAAGTGAACCACTGCATTGGGCATATCAAACTCCTTGGTTCCAGGCGGGCTTCCAAAGTCTCGGGCGGAACGAGACAAATTTGGAAAGCTGATCCAGGGGAAGAAAACACGCCCCAAGGATGCGCCAGCGACTTTCTTCTGGTGCCCCAATGTGGAAAGGATGGTCACGTCACCCTCGATTGTGCCTTCTCTTTCACAAAGCTCTGCAAGTAGGCGTGCGTGTTCTCCTTTATCACCAGGGACCATCTCCGCAAACTCTTTCAAGCCAGCAACATCCATCCGGCAGGAAACTTCCCAAGCGTCTCCTCGGGGAAACCCTGGTGTCTCATCGGTGTTGTAGGCTGAAGCTTCCGCAGCGCTGGGCCAGAGCCAATCATTCCATGTTCCAACCACTTCCGGGATGTTCTGGCTTTCTAGGCATGTTTGGAGGCACTGGTGCCAACTGTCAGCATCAAGGCACCAGCGCTCAAAGCGGTCCAAGGGGGCTCCTGCACGTTGGAGACCGTCGACCAAGCGGATCAAGTGAGGAAACTGCTGCAAAGAATCCTTCAAATATTCCACCCGTAGTTTCTTCCCAGGCCGTCTTGGAGGAGCAGAGCCCGGATTGGAAGGCACAACAATCCGGTTGATGTCTGCCTCGGCAAAAGGAAAGGCATAGTATGGCATAGCATGCGTTTAAGGCAAAGCGAACAAATAAAATCTTCTATGGGCCGGGCGGCGAGGGGTATGTTAAAAAAAGAACTGTACTCCAGGAGTTTGACTGTCGGAAGAGAATTTACATTGTTCTACCAATGGACAGCAAATTGGCGGATGTATACTAAGGCAGACGCTGCGGAGAAGAATTGGGCGTGGATGGAGGCGTGAGTCTCCCGGACAATGCGCTCAGGCAAAGTCGCCGCAGGAGCTTCACCAGGTCTTTCATTCTGGGCTTCAAGGCCTTGGGCTGTGTCTGGATGGATGCAGTCAGTGGTGCGGTTCATCTTCCTCAGCAACCAGTGGGTATCTTTGTGCATGCTCGTGCCTTTCCTCATGTACTCCAGGTTGTCACTGCATGTTTGCACACCGTTTGCCCGAAGATGAGGGAAAAGGAAATCTTGGAAGAAGCACCACACTGCTTCGCCAGAAGACATAAAGGACTTGGCCCCTGGGTCGGCATGGAAGACTTTGTTGGGGATGTCAACTTCCTCCTCCAAGGCTGTGAATGTGGACCGCATGTAGGTGCAGCGGAACCGCCTTTGATGGGAAACCTCTTCCGCCGTTGGAACACGAGGGATGTCACCGGAATTCATTGCCCAGACTTTGCCAGTGCATGCCCAATGCCCGTATCTAGTCTCTGCTTCGTGGTTTCTGCGGAGAGGTAGCCAGCCACCTCCGACGAACACATTTGACGATATCCTCCATGATTCCTGAATCTCTTTTGCATTCATCAAAGGTGAGGAAGGCTGCATGTATGAAATTGGCACCTTGGACTTGGAATTCTCGCTCCGATTGCAGCATGCCGCACGGAGCGCAACTGAAGGCACTGCCAAAGACAGCTTGCAAGTGATCGACAAAAATCAAAGTTTTGCCGTCATGTCCACATCCAACAACAATGTGCAAGATGTCAGGCTGCCGGACACGGGCCACAACCAGAGCACATTGGTTGAGCAGCACTTGCAATCCATCTGAGCCTGCAAAAGAAGACAAGAGGATGCTGGCGTATCGCTGTCTGGTGGTCATGCTGGGCACAAAGGCGATGGGAGTAGGGATGGCTATGTAACAACCATGACGGGCATCTTTCTGCATTTGTTTCGGGTTGCCATCCACAGTCGAGATGAATGCATCCTGGAAGCAGAGCCCTGGTTGCTGTTTGACCCGTATTTCTTCATCGCCCCAACGTTGGAAGCATTTCACGATGGTCCTGGCGCCAAGCTTACAGGATGGGAAGCTCAACTAGACGAGGGGGAGTAGGACAAAAATTGCGAGTGGTTGAACAGTTCATGTTCTATTTCTTCTTCGTGGGGATGATTTGGGGAGTCTTGATGTCCTTGAATGCTCCGCAAATTGGTGCCGGAGCGTCCGACAAAGCTCAGACAGGCCACAGAGCCACTCACGTGCTCTGACTTCAGGTTTCCTCTGAATGATATCCTGAAGTTGCCATTGCAAGAGAACCTCCTCCATACCCACTTGCTGGATGGCTTTGATCTCGAAGACAATGTCATCATAACATCTCTTCGGCTTCATCTGGGCCATTATGGAATAATACGCCTGAGCTCTACGAAGGGCCTGGAGGACGAATTCAAGGTTCACAGATGTCAGGCCACGAGAGGCCGGCGCCCATGCGCCATTGTTGTATTCGAAGAGTTGGCCCCCATGACTGCGGTAGAGATCCACAGCAACCAAGGCGAAGAGTTTGCAGTGGAGTAGCTCCGACTTGCCATCGTCCGGGCTTGTGTCCAACAACCTTGGCGGAAGGCAGAAGGGTTGTTTGTGAGAATTGCGTCATGCCATGAACCAATGTGACTTTGACTATGATGGGCCTCTACAGAGAAGCTTCTTTGGGAGGGTAAATCTGGCTCAATCGTTAGACTTGTCGAAACAAGGAATGTGGGTGATACCGGTAGGCTGTCGTTTATCGAAGCTTTGGAATTGGCTTGGGATGCGCGTAGGAATTTCTTGTATGAAGATCTTTTGAGCTCCTCTTTACAGATCTACATAGAAGGTCCTGCTGCTGCAGTTGCGATGATGCTTAACCTCACCTGTTACTGTTCCATAGCTGCCGTTGCTTGTCTCTGGTACACTGGCTTCCTACCCTGCCAGTCCAAGAGGGATGCATTGCGCCCATCCTGTCATGCCCAATTTGTTTGAATCTCGCATTAAGAATGGGGTGCCCTAGCAGTTGCGCAGAGGATTTCCAAGCAGGTTGTGTTCTTGCATGTTCTTGCAACTTATGTGTTTTGGTTAGGATAGACCTCAAATAGCAACGAAACCTTGTTTTTCGGCATAGGCAAAGACGTTTATCATCGCCAGACACATGCAGTATTGGCACCAGCACACAGCATCCAAAGCGCGCAGTCGCGATGCAGCAGCAGCCACCTGCAGCGGCACCAGCACCCAGGCTCCAAACGCGCAGTCTGCACCCTGCAGCAGCACCAGCACCGAAGCTCCAAAGCACAGCTTATGAAACTTATGTGGGTCCTTCGGTTTTGCTCCGATACTTCGCTGTGACGTACATGGGCCCATTGTTAGGGACATGTTTTTACGGGGCACAAATATGGGTTTTCGTTGGGCGTGGGAAGCCGTTGATACACGCAACACCACCCGATAGAATCCGCATGCATGCAAGTGGCAGCAGCGTGGCCTGAGCTGCTGCTCTATAAGACTTCTGCTGATCGTCCAGAACTTTGCTTTTCCAACCAAAGGATTGATCGACTCGGTCTCAGAATGCTATGGTTTCTTCTGCCATTGTGGCGGGGCGTTGGCATACATCTTTCTGGATTTTCAGATGGCTTGCATCTTCGAACAGTCGAGGAAGCCATTCCGGGCTCCAATGCCGAAGAATAGATGGCTCATCAGGACCATGCTGTGAGACTGCTGCCGGAACCGATGCAGCATGGAAATGACATTGACTGGGAGGTGCTTGCTGGAAGTCGGGCATTTCGGGCGGATTGATGTCGAGGAGTGCTCGCGCTTGTCCATGCTTCATCATCCAATTTTCCATTTTTTTGCGGAAGTGCACGCACGCTTTCCTCTCCGGGAATGCCTGGTGAGTGGCAGAAAAAAATACGATTTCTTTATGTTGGGGCATCTTGATGCGGAAAGGTTGTATCCGCGCCTTCATCTGCTTGCGCCATGTGCTCTGCAACAAGTTGGGACAGCGCTTCGGTGAGGCCTTGCAAAAAGCGTGTGGTGGCCCTAACTTGACTGAAAGTTTGACATGGTTCGACCGCAAAGTGAAGCCCAGCTATGCTTCCAAAATGTTTGAAAGTCACCGTATAGCAAACAGCGAAGAAGTAAGGAACTTGTTTTTTGTGCATGCCATGTAATCACAGCGCTGTGCTGCTGAACATGTGAACATGTATCATTTCGAAAGGAAGCGTATGCCGTATGCCGAAAGCGGTTTCAATGACTTTTCCCATGATTCCAATCAGAAAGGGGAAAAAGTATTGAGGTAAGGTAACATCCTTTATGCTGTAAAGACATGAAGCTCAGCTGCAGGAAATGCAAATCACATGAGCTGTGGTCCTTAATAGAAGGTCTTTTTTGGATGCAAGATCGTTTCCTAAAATGTCCATATCTATTTCTACATATATACATGGTATCTATCTATCTATCTATCTATCTATCTATCTATCTATCTATCTATCTATCTATCACAACTATATATATATATAAACCAATGTACATAGAGAGAGAGAGAGATCCAGCGCATGACAAGGATAATATCCAGGGTTCTGAGGCGTTCATGAAGAAAAACATGTGTGGCACGGCCACAGCATCGAAGCGGTGCCAAGAACGGACCTTGAGAAGAAGAGGCGTCGCAGTGGCCACCTGCGAAGCCACATCTGTGGCGATAAGTCCGGCTGTCATGCGTGAAACAGAAAATTGTACATGTGCAGAAATCATATCTGTGAAAGTGAAAGGCTAGCGTTAACCTGGAACATTGCATCAGCTTCTGGCTTGGATAGGCGGACCAGTGGTGTTGATTTTTGTGGTCATTGAAAAAAACGGGCGCAGACATGACCCAGAAGCGTCCCTTGCCTCCCAGCATGCGCCGCGCAGGCTGCGGGTGTCTCAAGGCAGTAAATTAAGTCGGCTTTGTGCCAATGGTAGAGAAGCGGATCTGTGTTCTCTACAACTCGTGGAGAGAAATATCATATATTGTTTTATGCATCGTTCCCCTTTTCACGCTTCGATTAATTACAATGTTTTATGCATCCTTTGCCTTCTCATGTTGGTTGATCTGTTTGATCCAAAAATATGCGCCCTGCGAATAGTGCACGGGCAAGTGGGAGCACAAAAGAGATAGCTAGTGCAGAATAAGTCGTCACCACCGTGATTGCAGGAAATCCGGCCGTGGTCATGGTAGCGTGTCTTTCGATATGTACAAACAGATTAATCCATGAAAACATAGATATAAGATATGCTTTTTGATTCAAAGAACAATGCAAATTGTGACTTTATTGTGTAGGGTATATTTCTAGGCGTAGGGAAACCTCTCAATCGGACACTTCTGTGCCAAGAAGCATTTATAAAGGCTTAAGGTTGCTTTGGCGGCATGAAGTCGACAGCAGAGTGGTGGTCTTGTGCAAATCGAAAATAGCACTAAAAAGGTCCCCCTCCTCACTATACTCCATTTAAAACAACAACAGCAACCAATACAAAACAACACCATGTAACATAATCTATTCATTTACTCCTGATCGGCTCCAGCGGCTTGAGCGGCCTCATTGGCCTCATCGGCTCCAGCGGCTCCATCGGCCTCATGCATCGGCTCCATCGGCCTCATCGGCCTCATCGGCTCCATCGACTCCAGCGGCTCCATCAGCTCCACCGGCCTCATCAGCCTCATCGGCCTCATCAGCTCCAGCGGCCTCATCCGCCCCATCGGCCGCACTGGCCTCATCAGCCTCATCGGCTCCAGCGGCCTCAGCGGCCTCAGCGGCCTCAGCGGCCTCATCGGCTCCATCGGCCTCATCGGCCTCATCGGCCTCATCGGCCTCATCGGCTCCATCGGCCTCATCGGCCTCATCGGCTGCATCGCCCTCATCGGCCTCATCGGCCTCATCGACCTCATCGGCCTCATCGGCCTCATCGGCCTCATCGGCCTCATCGCGGCTCCATCGGCCTCAGCGGCTCCATCGGCCTCATCGGCCTCATCGGCCTCATCGGCCCCATCGGCTCCATCGGCCTCATCGGCCTCATCGGCTCCATCGGCCTCATCGGCCTCATCGGCCTCATCGGCCTCATCGGCTCCATCGGCCTCATCGGCCTCATCGGCTCCATCGGCCTCATCGGCTTCATCGGCTCCATCGGCCTCATCGGCCTCATCGGCCTCATCGGCCTCATCGGCTCCAGCGGCTCCATCGGCTCCAGCGGCTCCATCGGCCTCATCGGCCTCATCGGCCTCATCGGCCTCATCGGCCTCATCGGCTCCATCGGCCTCATCGGCTCCATCGGCCTCATCGGCCTCATCGGCTCCATCGGCCTCATCGGCCTCATCGGCCTCATCGGCCTCATCGGCTCCATCGGCCTCATCGGCCTCATCGGCCTCATCGGCTCCATCGGCTTCATCGGCCTCATCGGCCTCATCGGCCTCATCGGCCTCATCGGCCTCATCGGCCTCATCGGCTCCAGCGGCTCCATCGGCTCCAGCGGCTCCATCGGCCTCATCGGCCTCATCGGCTTCATCGGCCTCATCGGCCTCATCGGCCTCATCGGCCTCATCGGCCTCATCGGCTTCATCGGCCTCATCGGCCTCATCGGCCTCATCGGCCTCATCGGCCTCATCGGCTCCATCGGCCTCATCGGCCTCATCGGCTCCATCGGCCTCATCCTCATCGGCCTCATCGGCCTCATCGGCCTCATCGGCCTCATCGGCCTCATCGGCTCCATCGCCCTCATCGGCCTCATCGGCCTCATCGGCCTCATCGGCCTCATCGCGGCTCCATCGGCCTCAGCGGCT